TCTAAGATGCATCAGTTGGTCCCAACCCACCTGGAGCAAAGTAGAATGAAGAACTTCAAAGACACAAGGAAAATATTAGCCCAAGAGATAGAAAGGGCCACATAAACCAGATACTCCAGAAAGGGCCACATAAACCAGATACTCCATCAGCCTGAGACCAGAAGAACTTAGATGGTCCCAGCTACCACCGATGATCGCCCTAACAGGGAGCACAACAGAGAGTCCCTGACGGAGTGGGAGAAAAGTAGGGTGCAGAACTCAAATTCTAGGAAAAAGACCAGACTTGATGGTTTGACTGAGACTGGAGGGACCCTGGAGGACATGGCCCCCGGACTCTCTGTTACCCCAAAACTAAAACCACTCCAGAGGCCAACTCTTAGACAAAGATTAGACTGGACTATGGAACATAAAATGATACTTGTGAGGAGTATGCTTCTTGGCTCAAGTAGATACATGAGACTAAATGGGCAGCTCCTGTTCTGAGGTGAGATAGGAGGGAAAAGAGGGTCAGGAGTTGGTTGAGAGGATATAAGAGATCCGGGGTGGAAAGGAGGAGTATGCTGTTACAGTACAGGGAGAGCAACTAGGGTCACATAACAATGTATGTATAAATTTTTGTATTAGAAACTGACTGAATTATAAACTTCCACTTAAAGCACAATAATTTTTTTTTTTTAAAAAAAGGAAGATCTCAAATCAATAGCTTAACTCTGCAACTTGAGGAATTAAAAAAGGCAGGGCAAAGTAAGCCCAAAACTATGAGAAGAAAGGAAATAATAAAGAACAGAGCAGAAAACAACCTCCCCAGGTAATACAAAGGCATGATGGAGGGTGAAAATAGTTGCTCTAAAATGGATTGTACAATGTCCCCAAAAAATATGTGTTGTAAATCTTAATCCCTAGACCTATGGTTATAATCCCATTTGGGAATGGGTCTTCTTTGTTAAGAGGCCATATCAGTGTAGGGTATGTTTTAAGCCAATCACGTTTGAGATATAAAAAGGGCAGATAAGGCATAGAGAAGCAAGCAAGGATGGGGGAAGATAGATGCCAAGCCACATGGAGATCTCCAGGGAACAGGAAACAGAAGCTGAAGAGACAAGGACCTTCCCCCAGAGCTGACAGAGAGAGAAAGCCCTCCCCTAGAGCCAGTGCCCTGAATTCGGACTTCTAGCCTCCTAAACTGTGGGAGAATAAATGTCTGTTTGTTAAAGCCATCCATTTGTGGTATTTCTGTTATAGCAGCACTAGGGAACTAAGACGGGGTTTTCAACTCTTCCTCCATCTTGCTACATGGGAGTGGCTGAGTGGCTTGCTGTGGAGTGATTCTAATGAGGAATGGGGATTAGGTGTCCAGGGTCAGAAGAGTATGGAAAAAGGCCCGCCGAGGAGGCCCACAGGCCCCACCCTTGGCTGAGAAATCTTGCTCCAAACAATGAACACTCTGCCCAGAAAGGAGATGGCACATTGAGAACTGAGAACATACTCCAGTTTCTGTGGGTGTGGGGACTCTGTGACTGAAAACAAACTTGCCTGTTTCTGAGTGGACACAGCATTCCCCATGCTATCAAGCATGATCACGTAAGCCTTAATTTACTGGCATGGAAGGACATCCCTGATCTACTGAAACACATACACACATTTCTGAACAGTTTATATGGCCTGGTCCAATTTGGTTAAAAAACAAGTTACTCCCTTAACTCAATCTATCTATCCATCCACAAAAAATAATCCAGTAGGATTACTACCAAAATGTTTAGAGTCATTATGGGGGGTTGGGGGGGGTAATAAGTAATGTTTTTACTCACAATGTCCCAGTATTGACTGTATTTTCCAACAATAAGCATGAGTTACTTTTATTTATGGAGCCCTGGTGGCACAGCGGTTAAGAGCTCGGCTGCTAACCAAAAGGTTGGCAGTTCAAATCCACCAGCCACTCCTTGGAAACCCTGTGGGGCAATTCTACTCTGTCCTAGAGAGTCACTATGAGTCAGAACCGACTCAATGGCAACGGGTTTGGTTTTTGGTTTACTTTCATTTTTAATAATTTCTAATTATACAAAATGCCAGCACAGTTTCCTTGTTAAAACAACATTACAGAAGGTAAGGTCCCTTTTGTCCATCCCCTTTAGGGACCCCTGCCCCCCACCCGAGGCAACTAATCATCACGGTCAGTCAGATGTCTATCCTCCTCCCAAAACTTCTTCTATGCATTTACACACATACTTACACATAATTTGTGTTATTCCTCACCATGATATGCATACTATTTTGATCTTGTTTTTTTCACTCAACAATACGTCTTGACAATTTGTCTACAACAACCCACATAGATCTAGTGCATCATTTTACACTTTTAAATTTAAAAAATTAACTAACAAGTGAAACTAACATTACCGGGTCAGGATTGCTTGCCGCTGGCTCCCTTAGGGAAGGCCAAGAATTACCCCGCTGCCCTCTTTGCCCCTCTCTCCAGGGCCCAGACTCTCACCACACCTGGTTTCTCCTCCCTGTACTCATCCAAAAAGCTCATGTCCAGCAACTGAAGACTGGCCACATCCCAGTCCCGCTTGACGCCAATATTTGGTAAACTGAGGCCCACTTTCCCATTGCTGTGGGGTTGAAGCTGGAGAAATGTTCTCAAGTTCAAGGCCACAGCCAGTGCTACCTGTAGAATAAAGAGCAAAAGCAATAAGCATGAGGGTGGGTGGCAATAAGCATGGCTCCCTTCTTAGGAGAAAAGGGGCCAATGCCAAGAGCTGAGAAGAAAGAGTCAATACCTAGCAATACAGGCCGCCCCCCTCCCATGCCCTTGACAGACATTGTTAATCAACATTCCCCCACTGAGCCTGGGCGCAGCCACTACCAATCAATTAAGAGCTAATGTCTATCATATTTGCCTTCCACATGCAAAACTTCATTTGGTTCAGAGGTTCTCAACACCAAAGAAGCAGTCACTTCCCCTTGATCACCATGTTTTCAAAAATAAAGTTGGGAACACGGAGAATGACACTTAAGTGTGAATGAGTAGAAGAGCATGAGCTTTGGATTCAGACAGACCAAGTTCACTCCTAACTCTACCAAGGTCTAGAGGGCCTTGGTGAAATTGCCAATTCTTTCCTAAGCCTCAGTTTTCACACCTATAACCTAAGATAATAAAAGGATGCACCTAAGATGGTGGTTGTTAAGAGTGCCCCAGAGCAGTCCTCAACCTTCTTTGTTTCTCTGCCAATGCTCACATCCTAGGTGACCTCATTCCACTCACAGGGCTTTAGGTATCTTTTTGCTATTTTAGTGAGTGAGGCTAGAGAAGCCCTCTGCGTACATAAGGACTGCCTTTTCACTTGCCTGGCTGGAAGGAGGCTTACTTCTCTAACATGTTCCTAGGCTATGCCTCAGGGCACAACTCAGCTTCATGTGAGATTAGGGCCAGGGAGAAGTGGGGTCCAATCCCTGGAGGTGCTGGGAGTTTTTTACCTTGCCATGGACCACGGCATGCTCTCCATGAAGGATGACTTTCCCTGGGGCAGACACCAGCAGGACCTCTGACAACATGGCTCCTGGGAATTCTGAAAGGGAAAGTCAGAGAGAGGGACAAAGGTCGCTAGATGTCAGAACCAGCAGGAAGGGATCTTAAAGAATGCCTGCCTCAAGTTCATCATTATAATAAACAAGGCAGCTACCATCCAGCATTCGCTATGTGCACAAACGGCAGAGCTGAGCCGCACAGCAGTCCGCTGGATGCATCAGAAAGATGTGGGTTCAAATCTAGCCCCTTCTACTTCCCGTGACGTGATCTTAGGTAACTCACTTAATGACTATGAACCTTAGATTCTCCACATGTGATACAGGGATATGTACCTACCTCAATGGGTTGCTGAGAGGGTTAAATTAAATAATATAAGGGAAATAGTGTCTGACACATTGTAATCAGTTGATGACTGCTAGTTACTTATTACTGGCTCTGTTCTCGGTTTCAGTTTTTATTACTATTACTATGAAGGTAGAAATTTAATGAAACCACGGACCAGAAAGGACTCTTTGTTGGACATTTAGGCTGTTTCCAATGTGTCACAGTTGTAAACAACGCTGCGGAAAACACCTGATACACCCGCTTTTGAACACTTAAACAAAAATTTCTACAAGACAGGGCCTGCTGGGTCAACGGGTGCTCGCACTCTACATTTTTATAAATAATGCAAAATTACCCTGCATTTAAGATTTTATGAGGATTGCATTATTAACTTCAGCTGCACTATCAGATTAAGTACTACCAACACCCCCTTTCTCAGAGAGGGAAACTGAAGCTCAGAGACGGGAAGCCGCTGGCTTGTCCGACGCTCGAAATCAAGTCTGTCAGATTCGATGTCGCCGACTCCCCTAGGATGGATTCTCAGAGTTGGGGCAACTGGGCCAGAGACGCTGGACGCCCCGCCCTGGGTAGTCCGTTGTCTCCCACTCGGACCTCGCGCCGCCCAGCCCCGCCATCCCAGCCTCTCACCTGCCGTAGCTACCGCACCTCAGCGCAGGAGCCCAAGCGACTCCGGAATCTCTCCACCCGAAGGGCAGGTGCCCCAGAGGAGGTGGAGTTTCCCCTCCGTCCAGTCAGTCAGAGAACGTGATCTGGGACCCCTTTACCGATTGGCTTGAGCATTAGCCAATAGGTGCTGCAACCAAGCTTCGCGTGGTTCCCCGCCCAGCTTCTTCCCGTGAACCAATGGGAAACAAGTCTCTGGGAGTGCCCCGCCCCGGGGTGATATCCACGGACCAATTGAAAACGGCAGCTGAGGGGAGGCGCGGCCGACTGTTGGTGGAGCGATCCCAGGACCTGAACGGGAGCCTGGCGGGGTCAGCCCTCGACTAGCGGCCTGGCAAATGGCTGTGTGGAGCTGGGGAGGCCGCCTTGGCCTGCGCAGGTATCTCGGCGCTGGCAGGATACTGTGTCTCCGTTTCCAGAGCCGCGGCCCTCAGGGCGTGGAAAACGGGGATAGGTGAGTGCCTGACTGGGAAAGTAACTCCGCGAATCGGGGCGTCGTCTCCAAGTGTTATGTCATACCGCGTGAAGTCATCGCGGCAGCTACCCGGTGATGTCCCGGTGACGTCAGAACTCTTGACGTCACTATGGCAACGCAGGCACCTCGGAAGGTAGACACCAGGCTTCTTGTGCGCAAGTCCGAGGCCCAGCAGTCGTCAAGCAGGGGATAGCATATCCCACGTGGGCCAGGAGGGACGTCTTGCCCAGTCTCATAGGAGGGTCCTCAATTCTGATTTTGACGTTATCTCCAAACGAGTTTATGCTTTAAGACACAGACACACCAACATGATCTAACGATTGCTTTCATCATACTACTTGGAACTTGCGCCACGTTCCTGGACCTCAGAACTTATAGAGCACCACGAACTAATGAGGAATTAACATATGTTGTAGATACAGTAATTTAACCTTTGAATAACAGTATAATGTCACATTTTAATTTTGAGGCGTGTATTAGGATACACATGGAGCCCTGGTGGCGCAGTAGTTAAGCGTTTGGCTGCTAACCAAAAAGGTCGGCAGTTTAAATCCACCAGCCTCTCCTTGGAAACCCTATGGGGGCAGTTCTACTCTGTCCTATAGGGTTGCTGCTATGAGTCGAAATCGACTCGATGGCAACAGGTTTGTTTTTTTTTAATTATTATTATTAAGATACGCAGTGGTGGTCCAGGAGTGGAATTCTTGCCGTCCATGAGGGAGACTGCGGTTCAATTCCTGGCCAACGCTCCTGATGCGCAGCCATCACCCATCTGTCGGTGGAGGCTGCAGAAAACACCTGACATACCCCTTTTTCACACTTATGCAAAGATTTCAGCAAGACAGCATGTTACTATGATGCTGAACAGGTTTCAGGGGAGCTTCCAGACTAAACATTAGGAAGAAAGGCTGGCGATCTACTTCTGAAAATCAGCCAGTGAAAACCCTATGGATCACAACCCTCTGGATCCTGTTGTGCATGGGGTTGCCATGAGTCAGGGGCCAACTCAATGGCAGCTAACAACAACATTAAAGATGTTATGTTGCTACTTGGAAATACCACAGTTTTTCATAACCCCCCGTTGGGAATTCACTTCTGAATATACTTGAAGCTTCAAAGAATGGAAGTGGTCCAAGTTTCTTTCCTTCCAAGAGGCCCTGACTCTGGGTAGGGTAGAGGTAAGAGTATGGGCTATGGAGTAAGATAGTCTTAGGCATGAGTTCCAGCCCTACCTCGTCCTCCCTGGGTGACCTAGAAAGGTGAGTCTCTTACTTTATGAGCTAGTGTCCTCACTGGTAAAATGAAGGTGCCTTCCTTTGGGGATGTTGGGAAGATTCCAGATAATGCTTGCAATCCACTTGGCGAGGTGCATGGACGATAGGAAATGATCAGTAAGTTCTTTTAGCAAATATTAATTGAGTACTACTTTGAGCAGTGCAGTGTATCAGTAGCTATGCATATACAGATATAGGCAAGACATAGAGCTTGACCACAAAGGGTTTGCCGTTTAGGAGGGATGGAGGGAAAATATGTCAACAGGAAGTTACTACCTAGGCAGAGGGAGGTAAGTGCTCCTCCAAGGCTATAAGCAGCAAGCTGTGGCCCACTGGAGGAAGTGCCCCACTGTGTAAGCCATTCCTGTAACCATCTCTCTCTCTCTTTTTTAAATTGTGGTAAAATACGACAAAACCTTTGCCATTTTAACCATTTTTAAGTGTATAATTCATTGACATTAGTTATATTTACCATTTTGTGCATCCATCATCAGTATGCATTTCCAAATGTTTTTCATCATTCCAAACAGAAACTCAGTACCCCTTAAGCAGTAATTCCGTATTTTGCCCTTCCCCTAGCCCCAAGGTGACCACTGATAAACTTTGGTCTCTATACCTTTGCCTATTTAGATATTACATTTAGGTGAGATCATACATTATTTGCCCTTTTGTGTCTGACTTATTTCACTCAGCACAAAGTTGTCAAGGCTCATCTGTGTTGTACCATGTATCAGAACTTCATTTCTCTTTATCACCGAATAATATTCCATCATATATATGTACCATATTTTGTTTGTCCATTCATTTGTTGATGGCCTAACCACCTCTTGACATTTATTTCTCATTAGGTCACAGTGTTCCTCGAAGACACCTAAGATCCCTAAGATTTACACCAAAACAGGAGACAAAGGTAGGGTGGGATCAGGCGAAAAATGTACCAAAAGACATATGTTAAATTCCATTTTAAACTTCTTCCAAATTCTTTGCCACCATTAAAAAGTATGTGATAGACCTCAGTCTACTGGAATGAAAAATGCCCAAGATATATGAAGTGATAAAAGCAAATTGCAGAACAATAAATGCGTATTCACGTACGCACAGAAGTTGGATTGCCTGGCTTTTTGTGACAAGGGAGACGGCACACCATAGGAACCATGGAGCAGCTCAGTAAGAGGATATTGGAAGGACTTAGGACATTATAGGATAGGATTTGTGCTAGGTGATTTGGGGAGGGGCTTTGCTCCGGATTGGATGCAGTTAGGAAGCAGAGGTAATTTTTTATGATTGGGTATCTTAATACTTTTTATCTAGAAGGTGGGAGGAACAAAGAGGGGCTGAGGCTATAATTGATAAAGAAGCAGTCATCACTCACATTAGCCAAGAAAGGGATTTGATCATTTTTGTATTTTGAACAATATTCAGACATGATTCACGGGACATTGGTGGTTCAGTGGTAGAATTCTCGCCTTCCATACAGGAGACAAGGGTTCAGTTCCCAGCCAGTGTACCAGCCGTCTGTCAGTGGAGTCTTGCATGTTGCATGCTGAACAGGTTTCAGCAGAGCTTTCAGACTAAGACAGAGTAGGAAGAAAGACCTGGTGATTTACTTCTGAAAATCAGTCAGTGAAAACCCCATGGATCGCAAGGGTCTGATCTGCAACTGATCGTGGGGATGGTGCAGGGCCAGGCAGTGTTTCATTCCGTTGTGCACGGTGTGGCCATGATTCAGGGGCCAACTCAACAGTAGCTAACAACAACAACTAGTGATCTGCATAGTTTTAAACTTCAGAAGATGATGTCATACATGATTATGGAGTGGTCTCCTTTGGATCTTAGTCTGTCATTGTCAGAGGGTCAACTTGTCTGATCTTGGTGTTCTGTGAAATCATTTATGTTCAACAGGACACCACCAGAGCCTACCTGTGAGTGCCAGGCCAGCACCTAGCAACACCAAAGCCTGGCTGATTGTACCAGGCCAGCTCCTGCTGTCAGGGGTGCCTTCCTCCTTCCTGGTGGTTGCGGGGAGAAGGGCAGGAAATGTGACCTAGGCAGAGGAATAGAGGACTTTGATTATATGTGAAATAAAATTTAATGTATATATAACATACACATTTACCGTCTTGGAAGAAGTACAGCTGGAATGCTCCTTAGAAGCCAGCATGGTGAGACTTCATCTTGCTTACTTTGGACATGTTATCAGGCAGGACCAATCCCTGGAAAAAAACATCATGCTTCATAAAGTAGAGAGTCAGTGAGAAAGAGGAAGCCCCCAACAAGATGGATTCACAGAGTGGCTACAACAATGGGCTCAAACATAGCAACGATTGTGAGGATGGCGCAGGACTGGGCAGTGTTTCGTTCTGTTGTGCATGAGGTTGCTATGAGTTGGAACTGACTCAACAGCACCTAACAACAACAAACGTATACTGTATGTTTTTTTTCTTTATCAGGATGGTTAGTGCATAATATTTAAGTTTAAAATAAAAGCGTATCAGGACGGAAGTCAGGATAGTGGTTATCCTTGGGGGTTATTTGCTGGAAGGGGGAACGTGGGGGTTTCTAGGGTGCTGGTTGTGTTCTGTTTCTTGATGTGGGTGGTCATCACAGAGTTGGTAACACAGTTCATCAACTTGTACACTTACGATTTTCTGTGTATATGTTATACTTCAAATTAAAGTTTTTAAAAAGAACTTAAATCAGGAAATAAAAGTCATAATTTGAGCCAGCTACACATCTTCCCACAGGGTTTTCTAGCACCTTTACTGGAGAAAGAAGACCCAAAGATGACCAAGTGTTTGAAGCTGTGGGAACGACAGATGAATTAAGTTCAGCTATTGGGTAAGGAGAGCCCTGGTTGCTCAGTGGTTAAGAGCTCAGCTGCTAACCAAAAGGTCGGCAGTTTGAATCCACAAGCCATTCCAAGGAAACCCTATGGGGCAGTTCTCCTCTGCCCTATAGGGTCGCTATGAGGCAGAATTGACTCCATGGCAACAGGTTTGGTTTGATTGGCCTTGAGGTTGAGTTTGAGTTAGGCATTAGGAAATGTAATTTCTATAAAGTGCATGCGAGTGCTGGCTAGTCCTGGAGGTTGCCAACCCTTGATGGATTTGCCTCAGCCTGGGAGCAGGGGGGCATCTACTGGGCTGCAGATGCCTTTCCCTTCTGGCCCCGCCTGCTCTCGGGCTAGCATCTGTCCCTTGCCACTTGAAGCTGCCTCCCCGCATCCCTGGCTCCCTCATGTTTCAAGTGAGCATGGATGTGCTGTTGAAGTACATAGATTAAGTGAAAGAGCTGAGTTGAACAGAGTACATTGTGTATCAGATGTGCTAAATAAGGGTCTGCCTTCCTTCCCGACACCTTGATTTGAGCCCAGTGATACCCATTTTGGACTTCTGACCTCCAGAACTGTAAGCTAGAAATCTGTGTTGTTTTAAGCCACTTAGTTGGCGGTGTTTGTTACCACAGCCAAAGGTTAGAGGTGGACTCAGGGAACTGGTCAGGATGGGCCAGGCCATGCCATGGTAACAGACAGCCTCTGAGTCTCATGGCTTACACCACCAAAGATGTCTTTCATGCTGTCCCTTCAAGCCCATCGCAGGTTGGCTGTGGCTCTGCTCCACGCGACCTTCATTCCGGAACCCGGGATGGAAGGACAGCATCTGTCTGGGACAATACCAGCCATCGTGGTGGAGTGAAAAGACAGCAAGTTCACACTGGCTCTTACAGCTTCCACCAGAAGAGACCTGTACCACATCTGCTCACATTTCATTGGCCAGAGCCAGTCACCTGGACACACCTGACATCAGTGGGGTGGGAGAGGCAATGACTATTTGGAAATTGTAGTACAGTCCACCACACTCAGCAAGCTGTTAACAGTGCAAGCAGTGATATTAAGTGCTGGCTGGCTCACAGAGTGCCCTGTGGATGAAGGTGCATGGCAATCAGACAGACTGGCTTCAAATTCTGTACCAATGCCGCCAAGGTGCCAGCTCTCTCCAGGGTCCGTAGCATAGTCCCTTCCCGAAATTGTCCTTCAGTAACGCTCTGACTGTGCCACTGTCTGTGCCCTGCCAGGGCCCTGACTGGTGTGGAAGGGGGTGCAGCGTGCTGAGGGAGCCAGAGCTAGCTAAGGCCTGACCTCTGTCTGGGACAGTTTGCCTTCCCCACCCCACCAGTCCTCACGGAGGAACTCTGCTCAGCCTTCACAATCCCATCTCTAGCATCACTTCCTCTGGGAAGCCCTCCCTGACCCCCAGCCGAGGCACGGACTCTTGTCCTTCTTTTCAGAGCATAGACCCCCATTTGCAACTGCACACTCAGGTGCGATCTGTTTAGCATCTCTCCCTTTCCCGCTGAACAGAGCCTGGTCTGCTTCTGCTTCCCACTGAGTCACCAGGCTTGGCCAGAGGAGGCATCCAGAAGTAATGGCTGAGTGGATAAATGAGTAGAAGAAAAGGCATTTTGAGAAGCAAATATCCCTATCCAAATGGAAGGTTATGATGTTCTTGTCAGAAAGAAAAATAACACCATGGCTATAGAGCAAAATCAGCTAAATGGCCTACCACCCCTGAATCTTCTCACAGTCAAACAGCCCTGGGATGTTGTATTAGAGGCAACTGATTTTTCCCTTTTTCCTTATAGGTTTGCTATGGAATTAATCACAGAAAAAGGCCACACATTTGCTGAAGAGCTTCAGAAAGTGAGTAGCATCATCCGTCCTCTCAGAGTTGCCCTCACTCTATGGGCCTTTCCCTTTATCTGTAAAATGGGGGCATGTAGAGATGGTCCTCCCTCACAGGCGGGCGGTGAGGACTGCATTAATGAGGGAAGTGTAAGATGCAGGAGTTCTCACCTAGGGTGATTCTGCCTCCCAGGGACCCTGGGTAGTGTCTGGAGGCATTTTTGGTTATTACGAGTTGGGAGGCGGCGGTGCTACTAGCATCGAGTGGGTAGAGGCCAGGGACGCTGCTCCACATCCTACAGTGCACAGGACAGCCCCCATCACACAGAATGACCCGGCCTAGAATGTCAGGAACACCGAGGTGGTGACCCCGGCATGAAGTTCCTCAGCTAGTGCCATGGCAGGGAGCAGAACTCCGGGAAGCCCAGCCACAGGAACCCTCAGCCTAGGTCCCAGGCATGTTGAAGACATTGATCTTGACCATCACTGGAATGCTTGACACTCGTCTGTCTGCATAACCCAGCTGCCTCCAAGGGAGACTTCTTTCTGCAGCGCCTGACCGGGCCATGTCAGATACCCCTCAGCAGGGCTGGGTGTCCAAGAAAGACGAGTTATACTGAAGATGCAAGCAGAGTTTGCTAATTAGCCTTTGAGTGCCAGCTAATTAGAGGTTCTGACAGCAGCCTGCACACCCGCACTTGCTTGCCTTGCACATAATCACTCTGTGTGTGCCCGGCCCCCACAAACAGAGCTTCATCCTGGCCTTCTGCTTCCCCCAGATCCAGTGCACGCTGCAGGACGTTGGCTCCGCCCTCGCAACACCTCGCTCCTCGGCCAGGGAAGCACATTTAAGTAATTCTCAAACCTGTGTGTGTTGACTGGCCCTGTGGGGGGACCTGGGCCTCCAGGTTGGGTCTACCCTGGGCATCACCACCTGGGACCCGCAGGTGGGCCAGTCAGTCTTGCTCACAGACCCTGGAGGGAAGGTACCACCTGCATCAGTGGAAGTGGTTTGTGCAGCTCCCCTGGCAGAAGGGTTGTGGGGGCTGTTTCCTCCATGATATGCGATGGGCCTCATGGCGTCTTCTTTCTGCTCCCTGACTCCTCAGAACACACCGCGTTCTCAGAAGGGCCGATCCTGGAGCTGGAGCAGTGGATCGACAAGTATAGCAGCCAGCTCCCACCTCTCACGGCCTTTATTCTGCCTGTAGGTACTGGATGGCCTCTACCCCAGGGGGTGGCTGCTGGCCACATGTGTTGACAGAAACATGTGGGCTTCGACTAGGCCCCATCTTCTGCTACTAACAGTGACAGAAGGGGCCCCCTAAGTCCCCTCCAGGTCCCCACCCAGCCCCATCCATGGTGGAAGAGGAGGAGCAGAACACTGCCTAGGGCGGGGGGCTGCATGTCTGAGGAGCCCCCTGTCTGCACTGGGCACCCCACACCCACACCTCTACCCCCAGCCAATACCCACTTTCTCCTTTCAGTCAGGGGGCAAGAGCAGCTCCATGCTGCACCTCTGCCGGGCTGTGTGCCGCCGAGCTGAGAGACGGTAAGGGACCCGAGGGAGAGGGAGAGGGAGCTTCGTCAGGGTGGGAGGCAGGCATGGCAGGATCCAGCCACTCGTTAACAGACCTTCTTTGTGCCCAAGTCCCTGTCCCCAGAGCACTTACATTATGGAGGGAGGCAATGGTACATAACCAAACAAACCAATACCCGTTACCTGTTGCCATCGAGTTGATTCCAACTCATAGTGACCCTATAGGACAGAATAGAACTGCCCTATTGGGTTTCCAAGGCTGTAATCTTTATGGAAGCAGACTGCCGCATCTTTCTCCCAGGGAGCAGCTGGTGGGTTTGAACTGCTGACCTTTAAGTTAGCAGGTGAGCACTTAACCACTCTGCCACCACGGCTCCTTAAACAAACCAACACATGATGTAATTTCACATCATTGTAAGCATTATGTGGCAGATAAGCCAGAGCAGGGTGGGAGTAGGTCCTACTTACTTTGTAATTTTATATATATACTTTGTTTTTTATTTTATTTTTTTGGATTATGTAATACATTCACAAGCTACAAAATTCCAAAGGAACAAAAGGGTACTCAGCTCCCCAGTCAGTTCCTGGGGCGTTAACTTAGGTGGTATTGTCAGGTGTCCGGGGGGGGGGGGGGGGGCCCGCCTGAGAGAGGAAATGCTATTTGAGCCGAGCATGACTGAGTGACTGTAAAACTACACACCATAACAAGGGCCAACCGGGTTGGGGTGGGGGTGGAATGCGGGGAATGGTCTCTGGCAGCCAGCAGCCTGAGCTGAGAGATGAAGGATGAGGGCGAGGTGCAGGGCGAGAGCCCGAGGTGGGAGGTAGCCATCCGCTTTCAGAGAACAGAAGGGAGGTGGGAGGGCCTGGATGTACAGTGAGGAGGCACGTGGGGCAAGACGAGGCTAGAGGGGTGAGCAGAGGCCAGACCAGGCCCGGCCTAGGACCAGCAGGGAGTCTGCCCCTTCCTGAGAGCAACAGGAAGCCACTAGATAGGATTTGCATTTTGAAAGGACCCTCTGGCTGCTGGGTAGAGATGGGCCTGGAGAGGCCCACAGGCCTTGGGGGTCCAGGTGGAAGCTGTCAACAGACCAACCCCAGGCCACCCTGACTCAAGAGCTGGGGAGAGGAGGGGCCTCCAAAAGCTACCGACAGCCTTTTCAAGGACGCTTTAAAGGAATAATTGTAAAGTCTACGTTTATACCATTCATGGACCAGGCACACAGCTTTACAGAGAAATGGAAATAAAACCTTACTTTGATACAGCAGACACTTTCTATTCATGCTGGCACTTTCTATTCATGATTTCCTGATTCCACTGATTGATAGCCCCGGGAGAGAGGTGGTGGTGGCCCCCCTTTCACAGGAGGGAGGAAGTTGGGGCTTAGAGAAGTGATGTCGTGGCCCGGGTCACCCAGGTGGGTTCATGACAGTCAGGATTTCAGCCCAGGTCTGTCCGGCCCCAAACCCCAACCTCTCTCCACGGCCCCACATCACAAAGGTCTGCCCTTTACCAAGAGGCTCTTGGTCCCCAGCTGGTCTCAAAAGGATCTCAGTTAACATAAAGAGCTTTGGCTTCGAAAGAAAACTATAATACTTTTTACAAAACCATGTATGTCAGCAGTACTCAGAATAGTAAATAGTTGGAAACAAATGACCCAAAGGCCGAACAACAGGGACTAGCCGAGCAAACACTGAGTCATCAACCCATCAGACAATTGTACCACATTGAAGTGACAGCGTGCAGACTGTCCATGGTGTGGAAACTGTGGGCCACCATGGGGGGAAAGCCCAGTGCTGAGTGCAGGGTACCTTCACAGGGTGACTGCAGCTGCAGGGACATGCAGGCTTTGGGGGGCCGGCCTAGATGCACATCCGGTCGGGCTACTTGCTGGCTGTGTGGCCTGGGCTGGAGACAGAAACCTTCTGCCTCAGTTTTCTCATCTTGAAAGTGGGGAGAGTGGCTCCCAGCAAGGGTTGTGCAGAAAGAGGTGTTGCGCAGGAAGGGCTTGGCATCAAGGGTTTCCCATGCCCTTGTTGGCTCTCTACTTCACCAAACATGATGTCCTCTTCTAGCAATTGATCCCTCCTGATGACATGTCCAAAGCAAGCATCTGGCAATATTCTGTTTTGATCCATAAGATTCTCACTGGTTAATTTTCAGAAGTAGAATGCCAGGCCTTTCTTCCTAGTCTGCTTTAGTCTGGAAGCTCCACTGAAACCTGCCCACCATGAGTGACCCTGCTGGTATTTGAAATACCAGTGGCATAGCTTCCAGCATCACAGCAACATGCAAGCCCCCACAGTACGACCAACCGGGGGGTATCCCAATAAAGCCATGGGGTAGGGGAGACAGCTAAATAAAAGCAGGCCATGACTGGAGAAATGATAAGAATGTGTTATGACCAAAGATTATAATTAATTCCTAATCAAATTCTATGTATCTGAAGTCTAATAAAATCTACAAATATTAGGAAAAAAGAAGAAAAGAAAGGAAAGCAGCGGTCCACAAGTGTGAGGTTCTTTTCCTATCATTTAAGGCTGTATTTTATGGGCCTGATGCTACTTTGCCATTGTATTTCTTACCACATACTACTACAAATCTCATACTGTATCTAGGGAAGGTCTCTTTATTGTACCTTGAAATTATTAGCTTGTGGGTGCTCAGTAAACAGCGGCCCACTGTCTAGAAGGTCTGCACACAGACTGGCGAGAGCGCCCGTGAGTTCAGGCTTATGCACAGAATTGGGAGTTTGGTTTGCTTGGGTCTTTTTCTCCCCTGTGAAGTTGGAGTCCCTGGGTGGTGCAAACGTTAATGTACTCGGCTGCTAACCAAAAGGCTGGAGGTTTGAGTCTACCCAGAGGCACCTTGGAATAAAGTCCTGGTGCTCTACTTCCAAAAAATCAGGCACTGAAACCCCTATGGAGCACAGTTCTCCTTTGACACACATGGGGTCACTATGAGTTGGAGTCAGCAGCAACTAGAAGTTGCTCTACGTCATAACTTAGAAGGGGCTTAGAGTGGTAACCCCTTGGGAATTGTTACCTTATTCTCCACCCCATCGTACCTGGGGAGGACCCACAGGCTCAGTGAGATAAAGGAGGCAGGCTGGGATATGGGGTACCGTGCCCCCTCCACCATCCTTCTCCCCTCCTCAGCCAGGCCACTTGTGATCTGCCCCCAGGAAAGGGGGTTGGTGCCTTCTTAAACACGCTGGTGTTGCTTTTCCATCTGTAACACTGGTGGTCTCTGTGCAGGTTCAGGTCAGGAGGCGCCAGGCTCTGGGGCTGTGCTCAGGGCTCAGTCTCCGTCCCAGGAGGTGGGTGTACTGAACACTGTAATGTGGCCTGATAGCGTGTCTCCTCCCTTTCCAGCGTGGTGCCTCTTGTCCAGATGGGAGAGACTGATGCAAATGTGGCCAAGTTCTTAAACAGGTACTTAGGTGGGCTTCAGAGAGTATCTCTCCTCTGAAATAGTGAGCACATTCTGTGGGAAATAGTCACCGTGGAACGGGGCCGAGGAGCAGGGCTGGGATTTGGTCATTCATTCAGTCACTGAATAGTCACCGAGTGGCTGCTCTGTGCCAGATGCTGGATGCCGAGATGCAGCTGGGGACCAGGTGGACGCTGTTCCTGTCCCCAGTGAGGTTAGGACCTCGTTGGAAGAGGCTGCTATAAACAAAGCCAGCAAAGAAAACTAAATGCAAAGGGACAGTGTGGTCAAAAGAGGGCCTCTTTGAGGTTGGGTGTCTTGCTGGTGACTGACCAGGGAGCCCAGGAAGCAGGACCCTTCTCTCAGTCGGTCTCCTCTCCCCCCTGAGGCCCCTGAGCAGTATGAATAGGGAGAAGACAGCCAGGCAAAGCTGTGCTTCCACGCTGTCTGGGCCCCAGGGCAGGCCCGGTGAGCTGGCCTGACCTGGACAGGACTTCTTCAGCCTCCCAGCTCGGCCTCAGCAGCCCAAAGCCTGCCCCGTCAGTTTCTACTCCAGACCCACCCCCAGCCTTGGCTTGTGCAGTGCCTGTGTGGGCAAGGTTGGAGCCCAGTGGCAAGGAACCAGCCGGAAGAAAGGAGCTGCCCTGGGTGGCCAAAAGGGGACCGCACGGCTGGGTGCCGGCCTGTTACTTTGGACACTCCTCCCGTGGGGACATGATGGATCCTGACAGCCTCCCTCCTCCCGGGAGTGCAGTGGGGTCTCCCTGGGCCAACTAGCGAGGAGCACCTCCATTCCACCTCCACAGCTGCGACCAGTGGGCAGCCTTTATGGCCCCACAGTGTTGTGTGGGGCAGTCCGTTCATTCCCTCAGCAGGGCCTCACAGAGCAGGCGGGAGCCAGTGTGTCGCTGCCCTCCAGGAGCACGAACCGAGCGGAATCCCGAGCCTGCCGGCCCTCCTGAACCTGACTCTGCATGTTCACAAGGTCCCAGGGGATTCGGGCACACGCTCCAGTTTGGGAAGCACGAGTCCTGATCACTTGAAGATGCAGAAACCAGCAGAGGAGTGGCCAGAGGCACCTGTCCTTTGGGGCTAGGGTGGGGGCAGGGCAGGGCCCTCCTCCTACAGGAACGGCCCCAGCCCTGGCGCCAAAGTTGCGGGGTGGGGGTTGGGGGGACCTTGGCTGTCACAGAAGCTTCCCATCGTGTGCCATCCATCAAGCCCAAGTCGGCCAGTCACCCACTGTCCCCGATATTCCTAGGAATACACAATCTATATTTCCTCCTTGAAGGTTAATATGGAAAGGACCTAGTTAGCATTGATCTCTTGTTTCAAATGATTCCCTTTGCTTCTTTCTCTCCCTGTAGACTCAGTGACTACCTCTTCACATTAGCCAGATACACAGCCATGAAGGAGGGGAATCAGGAAAAGATGTACAAGAAGCCCTGACTGCTGCGAATGAGCCCGAGGCACTGGAGATAATGGCCAGGCAAGGCATCTTTGATCCCTCAGTGGTGCTGATGCCTAGAGGTGAAGAGAAGAGTTTGCCCCCCACTGTCCAGGTCCTTGAAGGTCTCCCCCAGGGGGCTGGACGCTGACCTTTGTCCAGACTCAGCTTTGGTCCCGGGCCCCTGCCACGTCCCCCAGGGAACTGTTCCAGAATCCTGCCCCTGCTCAAGGCTCTGCTTGGCCTCAGGGAAGGTGGGAATGAATTCAGTATTGTGGAATGAGAAGGAGCCCTGCGGAAAAAAGAATAAAAGTGGGAAAGGCTTGAGCGTGTGAGAGAGAGAGAGAGAGATAGAGCACTTGCGAGTGTGCGTGAGAGTGCCCATGAGCTTGAGCGACTGTGTGCTCAGTTATTCAAGGATTTGGACTGCTACCAGAGGCCCTTGGAAATGTAATTGTGATTTACCTGTGCCAGAGGAGCTTTAAATGTCACATTTATAAAGGAGAAGCAGACAGGATTTGGAAGTTTAGTCACCTCTGAGCCACCCATCACCACTGAAGTGTGAGGAGAAGGCTGGCTGCAGATTTACAGGCGAGGCCTCAGAAACACTCCACTGGAGTGAAGTGTGTGGGGGGCACGGGGGCAGCTTGGAGACTCCTCTCTAAAAAGGATGGAGACCCCGGTGAGAGAAACACCACCATTCCAGGGGGGCATTTCCTGCTCCTGCCCAGTTGGATGGCGTCAAGAGTCTGAGGGAGCGTGGGCCCAGTTTGAGAAAATAAGGTCTTCTGTTTCCAGTGCAGCTGACTGACACCAGCGAGATGTATTTCTCTGAGGTCGCACTTGGCTGGTTTCTGCCTCTGCATCCCATGCCATGGCTGTATTTTATTTCAGTTGTCACCACTGCTCCCTCCCGCCATGAAACGGCACTGCCGGTGCCAGCTGTGTCCTTGGGAAGGGGATTATTTATGAAGGGTGGAGAGGCAGCCCTGAGAACCTGAAGATTCCACGCTGCTAATTGCAGGAAATGACTTTTCAGAAGGGCAGGCTCTTGCCAGCTGTCAGGGCTAGTGAACTCAATCCAGCAGTCATTTACTTATTGGGGCCTGATTAGCATGAGGCACGATGCTAGGCTGAGGGAGGCTGGCCACGCCGCTGTCCTCCTCCGGCAAGTCAGCAAACGCTTCATCATCAGTCACCTGCACATTTTCTCACCAGCGCACATGATAATTTTGCAGGGGGAACAGGCATGTTTTGTCTCTTCTGGGTCCTTTCATTCCTGGCATGCTGCTATGGCCCTCTTAAGCTGAGCAGTCTATGGGTGGATGACCCCTCAGTGAATATCCTCCAGGAAGTGGCCAATGTCAAATGCCTCCCTCTTCCCAGATCTCTGGGTGAGGACATAGTGGGTACTTGGTATGTTTGTAAAGAGAACTGAAAACAGGAAGTACAAATGAATCAGGAGAGACTAATGGTGTCTAAGAGTTCCTGGATGGTGCAAATGGTTAAGGTGCTCAGCTGCTAACCAAAAGGTTGGAAGTTCAAGTCCACCTAGAAGCACCTCGAAAGAGAGGCCTGGCAATCCACTTCTGAAAAATCACCCATTGAAAACTCTATGGCACACAGTTCTTCTCTGACACACACAGGTTGCCATAAGTCAGAATCAACAGCAACTGGTTTGTTTTTGTTGTTTAATGGTGGTTAACTACCATCTAACATCTAAGCCCCAAGGCTCGGCCAAGAGCAAATCACTCAGTTCTGCCCTCACCTCAGAATCTTCCCGGAAAGAGCAGGATGTATATAATAACACATCAGTCCACACTCTCAGTCATGATAAGACATCCTACAGAGATGAGGGGAGCCCTTTGAGCAAATACAACATCCTCAAGAGACCATCTTTGAAAGAAGGCCATGTGCAGGTCCTGTACCCACCAGTCCTTCCAAGGACAGGCCATCGCCAGACGGATGTGAACCCTTGGGTTCTCAGGCCCAGCTCGGCACCTTCCTGCTCACCAGCAAACATTGCTCTGAGAACCTGCCCAGGTGCAGAGTGCGCTCGGCATCCCTGGAGGGGTTTCTCTCCCGTGCCTCCAGCCTGGGGAAACCTGAGAATACCTCCCTTCGTGGACCCAGAGGATGGGCTGGTGTGAAGTATCTGCTCTCTGGCAGTGCCCTAACGAGTCACGTTGGAATCTCAAGTAAAAGGACAAATGTGGCCCTTATGGACGTTTATCACAATATCCTCCCATATTTTGAATCAAGTGGAAAAACTTCAGAAAAGCTCGACAATCCAAAAAAAAGAGCCCCTTTGGCACAATGGTTAAGTGCTCAGCTGCTAACCGAAGGTCAGAGGTTCAAACCCACAGGCAGCTCCTTGGGAAAAAGACCTGGCGATCTGCTCCTGTAAGGATTACAGCCTAGCAAACCCTATGGGGCAGTTCTACTCTGTCACATGGGGTCACTATGAGTTGGAATTGACTGGACAGCACACAACAACACAATAAAAAAAACACAACTATGTATAAAGCCCTCATTGCCCAATCTCCACACCATTGTCAACCCTCCAGTGACCATGCCTATTACACAGTAATGCAGGACTATGAAACAATAGCCTGTTTTTATTTAAAACTGATAATTTGTTCATGATAGGTTTTTTTTTTTTTTTGGCATTATTTTGTTTTTTTTAAAAATTATCGCATTAAGCTTCGGGGGCAGTGAATTTCTGTTAAGGATGATGGAGAAATTTGGAGACGGATAGCGATGATGGTTGCACAGCATGAATGGAAGCAGTGTCACTGAATTATACATGAAAAATGTTAAAATGGGAAATGTTTTGTTATATATATTTTTAGCACTATGAAAAAGATTAAACAAACAAAAGATTTAATTAAAATATTGTTTATCTTGATTACTGAGTGTGTTGGCATCCCCTGTAATTTTGCACCCAAGATAATTCCTCGCTTGCCTCACACTCACCCAGGTCCTGCTCTGCCGATCACAGTGCTGAGCACCCTTACCAGAGATAAGCTGCTGTTGTCGTTGGTTGCCATCAAGTTCAATACAATTGTTGGTGACCCCATGTGTGCAGAGTAGAACTGCTCCATAGGGTTTTCAAGGCTGTGACCTTTTGGTTTACTGTTTTTATTGTGATTTAGATAAAAGTTTACAGAGCAAATTAGTTTCTCATTAAAAAGTTAATACACAAATTGTTTTGTGACATTGGTTGCTAGCCGCGTGATGTGTTAACACTATCCCCTTCTCCACCCCAGTTTCCCTGTTTCCATTCGTCCAGTTTTCCTGTCCCTTCCTGCCCTTCTGTCTTTGCTTTTGGGCTGGTGTGCCCATTAGTCTCGTATACATGATTGAACTGTGAAGCACGTCCCTCACATATGTTATTGTTGGTCTTATAGACCTGTCTAATTTTTGGCAGAAGGGTGAACCTCAGGAGTGACCTCAGTACTGAGTTAAAAGGGTGTCCGGGGCCATACCCTTGGGGGTCTCCCGTTTCTCTCAGACCAGCAAATCTGGTCTTTTGTGTGTGTGTGTGAATTGGAATTTTGTTGTACATTTTTATTCCACTGTGTCCGGGACCCTGCCAGAGCAGTCGGTGGTGGTAACCGGGCACCATCTAGTTGTTCTGGCCTCAGTCTGGTGGAGGTTGTGGTAGTTGTGGTCCATTAGTCCTTTGGACTCATCTTTCCCTTGTGTCTTTGGTCTTCTTTCAGTTTCCTTTGTTCTAGCTGGGATGGGAGCAGTAGATGTATCTTAGATGGCTGCTTACAGGCTTTTAAGACCCCAGTTGCTACTCACCCCAGTCGGATATAGAACATTTTCTTTATAGACTATGTTTTGCCAATTGAGCTAAATGTCCCCCGAGACCATGGTCTCCAGCCCTCAGCCTAGTAGCTCGGTCTCTAAGGGCATTTGGATGTGTCTGTGAAGTTTCTGTGACTTTACCCTGGAAGGCTGTGACCTTTTGGAAGCAGATCGCCAAGTCTGTCTTCTGAGGTGTCTCTGGGTAGGTTCAAACCACCAACCTTTCGGCTAGTAGTTGAGTGCTTAACTGTTTGCGCCACTCAAGGACTCCTGGTTGTTGACTATTCTGTCCTAGGGAACCCCACAATAATAATGACACCAGATGGCATGTTATAAGCGCTTGCTATGTGCCAGGCACCAAGCCAAGTGCTCCACAGATGTCATCCCATCTAAACCTCATAGCAGCCCTGGACGGGGGTGCTCGTGGTATGCCCCACTTTGCAGATGAGGCAACTGAGGCTCAGAGGGGAGAACCAACGTGTCCCAGTGAGTCACATCAAGATGGGGGCCTAGGACCCCTGACTCCTGGCCCAGTGCCCCTTGCCTCACACTCCACTGCTGTTTGACAACCATTTTAATTATGACCTGGGCTGCGGTGAACAATGCCAGGCACTAATAGATTCTCCTGTCTCATTTCTCGACCTCGTTTCCCTTAACTGATATTTCATGGCAGCTGTTAATGTGCATTTTTCAGCGAGTAATTTTTGCAGCCTGAACTTGTAACACATCCCAGTGACAGAGGCCCCTGGTTCTGAATCCCCCATCAGCTGCAATGTCACCCTCGCCTCCTCCCCAACACCTTCTTCCGACAGCCCATCCAGTTTTATGATCGCTTTGTCCCAGTTATCACTACGAACCTTTACAAATCCAGAGGCATTTCAAGTGTAACTGAATAAAATTCTTTGTATAATAAATTCCGCATGAATGCTACATAAATCAGTGCCGGGAAGGATTTGTGGCTCGTTTCTCCCCTCGGAACGGGGCTCTGGAATCTTGCTGGCAATACTGGACCCAAGCGAGTCCTTTTTTGATTAGCAAGAGGAGTAAATTCACCTCTGCAGTCCAGCAGGGGGTGCAGTTTTAACGTCCCTCAGCCTGTTGCTTTTCTTCTCTGAGAGTCCCTCGTGGAAGATAGCATTTGAGCCCTACAGAGGCAGGGGAAGGGGAGGGTTGGGGAGACCTAGGAACTTCAGGATGTCCCTCATGTTTTCCCACTCCACGGAAGCAGAAGCTTCTAAAGCCGTGCTTTGTCATCTTTGGAACGAGGATGAAAGGGACGTGCATACTCTTCCTAGATGGATGCACACACATGTAGGTTCAGAAGTTTGCATAGTTTTATGGAGTCCTTGGAAACCCTAAGTAAGAATCCCTGTTCTAAAATTACCCATGCAACAGCCTCTTCAGGAGCTACGGTAAGTCCAGAGTCACAGGGTGGCCTTCTCGTGCAGCCTCTTTGGGGGGTTCATGCAGGCCCAGCCTTGAAGTGTGAGAATGAACACTTGGGGCTGGCCAGGGGAGGCTGATGAGATAACCTCGGTGCTTGTAAGACTGTGTAGGGCAGTGAATGACAGCCAAGGGCACGGCTGGGCCTTGGGCTTCAGGCAGACTGGGCTTTGAGACCAGCTCTGTCACTTCCTAGCTTTGGGACTTTGGGCAAGTCATTCCAGCTTTCTCAGACTTGGCTTCTCCATCTGTAAAATGGCAATAGTAACAATATCAACCCCATAGGGTCACTGGGAGGATTTAATGAGGTAATACATGAAAGAGCTTAG